AAAGCATCATCATCAAAAAGGATTACCTTAGTTGCTGTGTGGAGAACATCAATGGAAGGGTTAGAGAACCAAGAAAAGGGGAAGGGTATAAGCAAAGAAAGCAGTTCAGAAACTACTGCAACGACATGAGAGAGACGAGTTTACCTTGCAAACTAATGGAGGGTAGCAGTGACAGTGGCAAAGTGTGGTTTGATTCTGATTATATATAAAACGTATAATCATGATTTGCTAAGGGACGGGATGTAGAGTGAAAGAGAAAGAGAGTAATTCTTTACTATGATTGGAAAGTGTACAGAAGGAGCCAGTTTGGGAAAGAAAATCAGGATTTTAGTTTTGGATACAGTAAGTTTGAGATGACCATTATTCATTGAAGTGAAGATATTAGACAGACATGATTCTGGAGTTCAGGGAAAAGGTTATAGTTGATATAGATTTGAGAGTAAATTTAAAAGTACAGTACTTAAAACCATGAGACAGGATGAGGTCAGCTAAAGTGTAAGTGTATAGAAACAACAGAAATTTAAAATATGAACCTTTAGTTAACTCCAAGATTTGAAAAACATTCCAATGTTTAGATAGGAGGAACCAATAAAGTAAATTCAGAAGCAGCAGTCAGAAAGATAGGGAAAAAACCTAGAAAGAGCAGTGTTCTAAAAAAGTGACAACAGGTTTTGAGAATAATTATTTCAAATACTAACAATAGGTTAAGTATGATGAGGACTGAGAGTTGATCACTGGAGCGACAAAAGAAGTCACTGGGGACTTTGACAAAAACCATAAATGAAGTGGTAGAGACCAAAGCCTAAGTGGAATGAGTTCAAAAAAATAATAGGAAGCTCAGAGTGGAGTAACTACAGACAACTCTTCCCTATAGGAGGATGTGGTATTGAGGGAGTTTGTTTAGTTGTAGATTTTATAACGTGTTTGTTGATAAGAATTTACTGTATTTCAAAATGCCTAACTATTCCAATTACCCCATGGATTAAAAGCATAGTCCTGGATTATCACACAATATTATCCTAATAAACATTATGAAGTACTTTTCTTCTTAATTGGCTTTCTAACAAAATTTTAGTGTATTTCTGAGCCCTCGCCCTATATTCCCTAAGGGATTGAAGACTAAATTAGAGGTTTACTTTGCATTTTGCCTGCTGTGCAAACTGATATGAGAATGCCAATTCATTCTGTTTATTTCTTATTTGCTACATGCTACTACTTCCAACTAAATTATTTTTTCTGATAAAGTAGTGGCTTCTGGCAGGCAACTGAGAAATTCCTGCAGCATACACAGAAAGGCAAGGTACTCAAGATGTTTGAGGTCATGACAATTTGTTTCTTTTGAGAGTCACAAATTAATCTCATATCCCTACAGTAGCCAGTGCTCAGTTCATAACCCCAGGAAAGAATTATTGGCTTCAGTACCCTCACAATAAGCAAAACCCACAGCAATAGCATCTTAATAGGGACTGCTTAGTTTCCAAATACCTAATAGTAAAACATAAAGCTGAATTATAAGATTGCTTGCTATGTGGTATTTTAAAACTCTGGAATGGAAAACAAACAAAAAAGAACTCTGGAATGAATAAAATGATCCCATATCACTATATCACTTAACCAATGGTTTGTTTATATTCTTTTCTGCCAATCTACCAACAATGCTATTTTTTTGATATGCTAAACTCTACAGGCTAGGTTCCAATGAACAATTTAGTGCTTTGCTTTCTGAAGCATCTACATACAAAAATAAACTTTTTTTGCCTGGAATTCAAAACATATTTTAATATTCATTTTATTAAGCAGCTCAATCAAGATATGAATAGTAATATCTTCATCTTATAAACAAGAATGAATTTTCTAAGAGGATGCAGAGGTAAGGGGAAAACACTCATTTCATAAAATAGCACCAGTGTGCTTCTGAGATAGCTGAAAAAAGGGACACACACACAAGAAGGGTAGACCCTGCAAACATTTTGGCTATCTTTTCAAAGCACTCCAAACTTGGAAGAAATATTGTTATAAATCACCTTGATTAATAGAATGCATTTGCTAAAGTGGTTCTGTAATAGCTACACAATTCTTATGACTTGAATAACCCAGCCTAGTAAAACTGGCGAGGGAGAAACTCAAAAACGCTGGCCTCTTTCAGAACCAATACTGCCCCTGATCAGAAATACTTCCCTTTGTTTTTTTTTTTTTTTAAATAATAAAGACAAATACATTTTACAGTAAGTATAATTTGATGAGATGGGAACAGAAATAGATAGGCAGAGGGTATTCTGAAAGAAGTAGTAGTGGCATGGTGAGGATTACAGATTCTAAAGCCACTATTTGTGTTTCAATCCTCATTCTTCCTCTTACTGTTTGAAATTGGGCAATTTATTTAGCCTCTTTTTTTTAAATTACCTATCAGTAAAATATTAGTATTACCTACCTCACTGGGTTGCTGTTGTAATAATTAAATAAGTTAACCTTTGAAAAGATTCTCAACGTATGGAGGAAGTATAAAATAAGTGCTGACCAAAATTATTAGAATGATGTATTGTAAACTTACAAAGGTGTCCAACAAAAGTGAATGGGATATACCCGGAACAAAATGGCAATGTTATCTAATTTGTACGTTTATCAAACATATAAAAACTCAGTAATAGAACACCCTACTAGTGTTCTACTGCACAGTAGGGTAATTACGGTTAACAATATTGTATTGTATATTTCAAAACAAGTGAAAGAGCAACTCAGAAGGCCGATGTGGGAGAAGCATCTGAGCCCTGTAGGAGGAGGTTGCAGTGAGCTGAGATTGTACCACTGCACTCCAGCTTGGGCAACAGAGCAAGACTCTGTCAAAAAAAAAAAAAAAAGCTGAAAGAGAGGATTTTGAATGTTCTCACTGTAAGCAAACAAAAAATGTATGAGGTAATAGATATGCTAAATGTCCTAATTTCATTTGTATACAATGTATATACATATTGAAACATCATACTATTCCCCATAAATAATGTACAACCATTATGTGTTAATTAAAAACAAAAACAAAACTCAAAGAATATTATCCTCTAATAGAACTTTAAAAAATTTACAGCTTACAGTGCTGGTTATATCCTCTGGTAACTTAGCAGAGACTTTATCTGAATCCTTTTGTACTGACATCCACCTCTAATAACTCTTAAAAAAAAAAAAATCAACAGTAACAATGGTATGGTATTAAGTACCTAGAGGATGTTATTTATTTGTTCTGTTGTTCTGTCTGTCGATACCATTTCTGGTTTCAAGTACATACATGTTGCTACAGCAATTTAGAAGTGACTAGAATATCTCAGGAAATGCTAATAGTCATATGAAGGTGAAACTATATGGAAAATCTAACATTATTTAAGGAGAAGAGGATACAGTGTCCATGATGAAAGCAACGGTAGAAAAATGTTACCTGACAGCACACTATCTTTAACACTATTATCACCATAAGCTAACAATTACTGTGTATTTAGCATTGTAGTAATAAACATCAAAAACACTTGTACAGTTGAACCATAGTTGATTACAGATGGTAAATAAATAATTGATTATTTAACAGTCTATTGATCAAACTTACTTATAGGGCAATCAGAGGCCATTATGATTCAAAATAAATTTACACTGGCAATGTAATTATTCAATTATGTATTTACATTGAGGATGAATACAGAGATAATGTTAGTTAACAAACAGCTGCATCAATAATTTGATAGCGACACAGAAGAGTTACAGTAAGGTAGAAAATTAAGCTATAATTATTAAAGTAAGAATATAAGCTGAGTAAACAAAAGGCCACCTCTTCCAGATAAGCTCTGTTACAGAAGCCATGTGATTGGTGAAAGGAACTAATATATTTTATCTACTCTTCATTCATCCATTTTACTGTCCTTGCACTTTTTCTAGCTATAAAGGCAAGGTTGTTGTATATGATTTTGATATATATACAATTTCGATTCTCAAAATTTAAATACGATGTTAAAAACTATAGGCTTTATTTGATTTTGTCAGATTTCCAGCTAATAGTCAGTGGACAATCTAAGCTAGGATCCCAAATGCATTTAGCTATCAGATCTCCTTCGTCTGCTCCAATAACACTCCCTTGATCGTTCCATGTTTTTCATGACCTTGACATTTTTGAAGAGCACTGGTCAGTTACATTGTAGAATGACCCTAAATTTGAGTTTCTCTTACATTTTCTCATGATTAGACTAAGGCTGTAACATTTTTTTCCTGCAAGTGTCCTTGGTGCTTCAATCCAGAGTCTGCATTATATTGATAATGATGTGTTACTAATGAAGTTAACTCAGTGAAAGTGGTGCCTGACAGGTTTCACCTCTGAGATTTTTCCCTTTGTAATAAGTATCTTAGGAGAGATACTTTAAGTTTATGCAAGCCAGGCGAGGTGGCTCATTTCTGTAATCCCAGCGCTTTGGGAGGCTGAGGCGGGTGGATCATCTGAGGTCCAGAGTTCAAGACCAGCCTGACCAACATGGAGAAACCCCGTCTCTACTAACAATACAAAATTAGCCAGGCGTGGTAGCACATGCCTGTGATCCCAGCTACACGGGAGGCTGATGCAGGAGAACTGCTTGAACCCAGGAGGGAGAGGTTGCAGTGAATCGAGATTCCGCCATTGCATTCCAGACTGGACAACTAGAGTGAAACTCCATCTCAAAAAAAAAAAAAAAAAAAAAAAAAAAGATTATGCATAAATTCTATTTCTCCTCAAACCTTTGCCCAATAATTTTAGCATCCACTGGTAAATCTTGTCTGTAATAATATTACTAAGATGTTTATGTAGGGTTTTGAAGGTAACTAAAATATATGAAATATAATAGCTGAATTGTTCTTGATATAAACATATTAAAATTCTACTGGATGCATTTTTTCCTACATTTGAAATATGAGTAATCATTACTTTCTTTTGTCAGCAGTTACTGTTAATCAATTATGACACCAAAGAATAACATAATTGAAATATTACTTACATAACTATGGCTTTTAAAGAAATTTGATGGACTAGTGGTGAGGATTTTGTCTCCTTCCAAACCAATTACTCTTTTACAAATATTTGATTTTGGATCACTTGGGCTTTTTGCAATCACAATGTCACCTCTGAGGGGGAAAAAGTCAAAGAAATATCAGTATTATTTATTACGCATAAACACATGCATGCCCCTGCTTTAATACTTTTATAAGGCAACTTGAACAAAGCCATACCCTTTATCCTCTCATATACTGACTCTTTGATACATTTACTGGCTTTGAGAACCTTTGTGACTGACTACTTTAGGTGAGAATCCAACAATAAGAGTGATGAAAAAGCTATAGAGAAGCTTTAGAGAAGACTCTAAACTTTCAGATAATTCTACAAGAATTATCTTTTTGCATTGTATCCATTATGCTTTACTCCTGTGTCCAAATTCTTAGAACCAAAACTGTGGAAAATAAATTCTATATAGGCCGGGTACAGTGGCTCACAACTATAATCCCAGTGCTTTGGAGGCTAAGGCAAGAGGACTGCTTGAAGCCAGAAGTTCATAGCTACAGTGAGCTGTGATCTTGCTACCCTAAGCAACAGACTGAGACTGTCTCCAAAAAAAAAAAAAACAAAAACCTCCAAACAATTCCATATAAATACCAACAAATTAAGTAAATAAATTTTGCTGTCCAGCCAGTAGCACTGATTGATTCTAGAGCATACCTAAAAAGGTAAAAACATCATCCGTGTTTCCCTAGAGCTCAAATAATTGAGAAATGATAGCATTTAAGTCCTATAACCCACATAATTTATAGTACAGCCAAAAGAACTTATATTTGAGAAAAAATCAAAAGATACAACAAAATAAAATGCTAAAGGCTGCCCAAACATACACTCTGAAAAATAAAATGAGATCTCAAACCTATAAAACCAATAAAGATCTGATTGCAAACAGAAGACATGATTTATACAAGGAGTGACAATCTATCTGGTAATAAAAAATAAGAAAGATCCTTAAAAGTAGAAAGGAGGGAGACAAAGAATGTAGGACCAATGGCCACAGTCAAACAGAACACAATGCTATTTCTGCATAAAACGAGCAATATGTGAATTCTGTTGACTAACACACATGTTTAAAAGGATTTAACATATTTGCTTATTAATTGTACCAAGTTCCAGAAATAGTTTAATGTTACTTATAATAAAACATGCATATGTCAAAATAATATTAAAAGCCATAAAAATAAAAGGAAAATGATGATGAGATCTGAAACCTAATAACTGCTCTATAGAAGCATTAAAAGGGGTTCTAAACACTTTGGGAGCCAAGACAGAAGAAATTAAGACCAGTTACATGGAAATCATTAATTTTAAAATAACATTTATTTTGGGAGGCAAGACAAAATTTTCCCTAATAACTAAATCAAAGAGAAATTCACAAGAAGCATTTTTATGTTAGAATAAGATACCATCTTTGTCAGAAAATTTACAGAAAATGCAGAAACAGTATTTACAATGATGATTTCTTGAGGCTATTCTTGGTAAGAGTTGAAAGGTAGCAAATCATTAAATTCTGCAATTTGGAGGAAACGTAGTATTGCCTTTTTTTTGAAAACAGAATAAACTATTTTGTTTCTAACCAACTACAACCATGTCAGTGGATCTGTTCAGATAAACAAATTTGCAAAGATTGTTAACACACCATCAAAGTTGATTTTGGATAGCTTTGGAGGAAGAGACTTTTTCCATGGGTGTTTAATGAAGCTTAAGTTATTTGATCAAATAATCAATATGACCCTTAAAACAAACTTTGTACTTGAATGGCAACACAGAAATCATAATTCAATCATGCTGTTTCATAGCATATAAACTATATTTCCGGTAGTCTAACTAGATACATGTATAGTGTTCAGATCAAAAGATAGCCCTTGGATTCTTAACTCCTTCAAATAGTTTTAAAAGGAAGCTTATTAAAAATTTTCTCATTTATATTTATAAACATCCTTATTATTCTACTGCACAGTAAGCTTTTGAAAACCAGTGTCAACATCTCATTAATCTTAACATTCTCTGTAATGCATAGTACATCTTATAAATTAGGTGCTTACTACCATTTGTTTAAAGAGTAAGTAGTAGTAAAAATTTGACTGTCTCAAGGTTGAGTGTTCTGTGCAGTTGACTGAAGAGAAATCCATGTGCTTTAGATACTAGATATGCAAACTTTTATTCTTGCCTAAATGGAAGGTTATTTTACATTTAGAAACAGGCAGCCAACAACATAGGACCCCTTGCCAGGGTCAAAGACTCCCCTAAAATCTTGAATTCTATGCTGCAGGTAAAAGAAAGAGAATACTCAGGACAGTAATATTTTTAAAGTAGAAGTTACCAGCTGGCTATCTTGGGTCTAAAGGTTACTTTTGTATATCTCATAAATGCCAGATTTTGAGCTGTCCTGAAATCTGGATGAATAGAGTGCATAATGATATCTTCAAAGATTGTGAATTCATTTACTGAATGTAGTTGTTTCCCTTATCTGAATACAATGAGTAATTTTTTAAAAAATTAAAACTATCCAGCTCGGTATTCAAAAACTATTCAGCCAACAGGTTCAGCTCCTCATTCAGGACGCCCAAATATTATTGTGAATATCGAAAGTCACTGGCATGGAACACGAAGCTTGTCTTCATGCTACAGTGAGACTAGGTCTCCAGTTAATTCAAAGGCTATGTAAGGATAATTTGACATAAGTTAAAAAGAAAAGGGAGCAACACACACCTATTATATAAGTTTTTATTTTATAAATTCTGTATCTACAATTAAGTATCTAGAAGTTATATGGGTAAAAGATTTGAAGAAGAATTACCTACGGAGCATGCCAAACCATATAGCTTGACCAAGAGAGTTTCTATCTGCAGAATCTAAGGCTGGTGAAAGATCAGTAAATGTGAAGAACAGTTTATACACTATTCTTCATGATTTTTAATAATGTGAAACAGGTACAGCAAAGGTGAATAGTGAAAAAGAAGTGCCTAAACCTAGTTATTATGCCATAAACTAAATACTAGCTCAAGGGAATCAAATTTGTAGTTTACTGAAATGAAAGCTGGCATATTTTCAGAATTATAAAAAACAAATGGACTCAAAATTTTAGGATGTCAGAGAGGTGCTCTTTAGAAAATATATTAAATTATTAATACTTGACATTCATTTGGAAGAAATCATTCTCATGGAGTTAATTAGAATAATGGGTATCACCAGGATTGGAACCACCATTTGAAATAGGATTTTAAAAGGTTTAGTGACAAACAGTATTTGCCCAGGAAGTATTCAACTTAATATAATTAATCAGGAGACTCATAATATATAAAATTCCTGGTTGTCAGCCATATACAATAATGCAATCTAAAAATCATCAAATGGGCTGGGCACAGTGGCTCACACCTGTAATACCAACACTTTGGGAGGCTGAGGTGAGTCGATTGATTGCTTGAGCTCAGGTGTTCGAGACCAGCTTGGGCAAAATGGCAAAACTCAGTCTCTACAAAAACTACAAAAATTAGCTGGGCGCAGTGGTATACACGTGTAGTCACAGCTACTTGGCAGGCTGAGGGGGAGGGTCACTGGAGCCCAGGAGATTGAGGCTGCAGGGAACTGAGATCATACCACTACGCTCCAGTCTGGAAGCCAAAGCAAGACCCCATCTCAAAAAATGTGTATCAGAAATTTTTTTAAAAAATTAAAATCATCAAATGCTCATCATAGGCCGTATGCAGAGAATAAGTAAGACAGCAATCAATAGAACTACAGGATTATTTTTAAAATTAAAGAACAAAAACATTGGATATGTAATGTAATCCCTAAGTTCCTAATGCTTAACTCAAAACATTCTAAAACCCAAGAAAATAAAGTCAAGTAAGCTCACACGCATATTGTAAGGGACTGCTAATTAGTTTTTACAATGATACAAGAAATACAATGACCCAAGAGATTGTACATGTTTGAGAAACTATTAACCATTTCTCAAACTGAAAGAAAATATTTGACTCAAAATTTTATCAAGCTGGTCATTAATATGGTTATTTATGAAAGAGTTTTTAAAGATAAACTTAAGGAACTGCAGAAAAGGCATCATGTGTATGTGTATTTTCACTGTAAATTTAATATATCCATGACTGGAATTTACCTTTGGATACCATAAAAATGTCGACTAAGGTTTTCTGCAAAGACAATATCTGAATTTTGAATTGTAGGCTCCATTGATGGTCCAGAACACTGAAAAGAGAGGCAATTTGTAATCTGAGTTCAAAATCTCTTTTAAATTTAACATAAATCATTTGAACAGGCTTAAAAGAAAGAAAATCAAGCAAATGTTCTTAAAGCTTAGGGGATGATTCATAAAAATTAGCCAGTTCTCAAATAAGTTCAACTCCAGAGTAACCAATAAGTCTGAAAACATAGACAAACACAGAATAAATGGTTTATTGATTTTACATTATAATGCCTGAATAAAATAACATTACCAATGTTTCCAAATTTAGGCACCCTATAGAATGTCAGTTCCATGAGGGCAGAGATCTTCTCTCTGATGTTCCCAGCTATATAACTGTTTGGTACAAAACTGATAAACCATACATATTGGCTGAATAAATGAGGGGATTCATTTTCTTCTTATTATCAGATATGGTCCAGTGAACATGATAACTTATTAAATGGTATTATACTTTTCTCAATGAGTTTATGCCCATCTTCCTCTTCCAAGAGAATTACTTACTCATTTCTGGGGCTGCAACTTAAATTTTCTTCCGAAAAATAATTGGCATGATGAGATGGACTTTAAAGATTTTCATGGCCAGGTATGGTGGCTCACACATGTAATCCCAAAATTTCGGAAGAATCACTTGAAGCCAGGAGTTCAAGACCAGACCTGGCAACCTAGAGAGACCCCCATCTTTACAATGAAGCAATCAAAGATTTTCCTGTTTGTATGTCTCAAAACAATACTCTTGATATATACAGGTTGAGCACCCCTAATAAAAAGCCTGAAATCTTAAATGCTCTAAAATCTAAAATGTTCTGAGTGTCTACATGATGCTATAAATGGTAAATTCCATATCTGACTCCATGTGATGTGTCACAGCCAAAATACAGTCCAAATTTTTGTTTCATGTACAAAATTCTTTCAAATATTGTATAACATTACCTTCAGGCTATGCACACAAGGTACATATGAAATATAAATGAATTTTGTGTTGAGACTTAGGACCCATCCCAAAAATATCTCATTATGAATACAAATATTCCAAAATCCAAAAAAAATCTAAAATCCATAACACTTCTGGTCCCAAGCATTTCAGATATGGGATACTCAACCTCTACCTTAGAATTGGAAAAAATTATCATAGCCACTTAAAAATCTAAATACAACAGTCTCTATTTATTTGTAAATAAAACTTTTTACTCAAAAGTTCCTACTCAGGCAGAAATAACAAGAAACACAATGAAAGTCTGTTTGCTACCTTTGGAAGTACCAATCTAACTTACAAAAAAATCAGGAAGATAAGTTTCGGCCAGGTGCGGTGGCTCATACCTGTAATCCCAGAACTTTGCGAGGCTGAGGTGGGCAGATCACTTGAGGCCAGGAGTTCATGATCAACCTGGCCAACATGGTGAAACCCCAACACTACTAAAAATACAAAAATTAGCCAGGCGTAATGATGCATGCCTGTAGTCTCAGCTATTCAGGAGATCGAGGCACGAGAATTGTTTGAGGCTGGGAGGCGGAGGCTGCAGTGAACTGAGATCACACCATTCCACTCCAGCCCAGGCAATAGAGTGCAACCATCTCGAAAAAACAAAAAAGAAAAAAAAGAAGGGAAGGTTCAGTTAAATATATACATTTCCAGCTTAACTTGAGGTTAAGACTATTAATCTAATAAAGTAAACCTAATTTAAAAAAAAAACAGTAATAATTAAAAAACTATTGACTGGCTGGTCAATCAACTTATTCTTTCATTTACATGGCAAAAGGCTTGAATCAACAGCCATGGTTTGTAGTTTCCTGATACAATGTTAAGAAAAAGTATTAGTTGGGGATAGGAAGCAGCTTTAACATTTTAATATAGACATTAGGCAGAATAATCAGTCTTAATTAGATTAATAATCTGTCTTATATAATTAGATTTGTTTTAATTATAGTTAAACATTGTGGTTATGAGGTGTAATTTTGAAAGCTGGACTAATATGTGTTGAAATTTCAAGTCTCCTACTTACTAACTGTGGGACCTGGGAACAAGTAAATTACTTAAGCTTTCTCAGTTCACTTCCTCATGTGTATAATGGATTACTTATAAGTATCTCACAGAAGTGTAAAAGATTAAATGAGTTAATAAGTGTAAAACATCAAACATATCCTGAAACACAGTAAATAGGATTCAATAAATGGTAACAACTATTATTTGTATACTATTCAAAAGGACCTTTTGCGCCCATTAGAAACAGAATACAGAAAACATTTAAGTAATGGTCCTTATACCTTATATCAGTGCTAGTTCAAACATGCTCTCTTATTGTCCCAATATATAGAAAAATTTATGTTTTAACTTTCACATTTTATTCATTAATAACTTCAACTAACATAAAAGGAAAAACACATTTTCCTTCTATTCGAAAAAAAGTATATATTTAGGATGAATATTCTTGAACATAAAAACTTACCATGACAACACCACCAACGTATTCAAAAGCACAATGAGCTATACAGCCATACTGAATAGTATAGCCAACAAGTCGAAACGTTTTCCCCAGAACACCACGAAGCATAGTTCTATGTAGACTCTGCCACCATTGGCCTGATGGTAAATTTCAAAAAGTTTCATGATCAATACTATTTAAAATCACTTAAGAAATAGTTCTATTGTAAAATATTTTACAATCATCCCAAATGTAGTAAGTGCCTAATACAATTTGGTGCAAGAAAGCAAGAGTTTATTATCAGTTCTACTAATGATATTTTAAATGGCAAATGATAGCCACTAAAGATTTTGATTTATCAAAGTTTATATTCAAATGTCACTGGGTCTATATATGAATTATATAATTAGTAGATTCTGAACTAGTCTTTCCCCTTTCATGTCTTGCTTATTTCTTCTATAAGGCTGATGCTTAAAAAAAGATACTAACTCTTTCAAAGGACTAATAGCAGTTTTTCACATTTGTTCCTTGCTATGTATTTTTCTTGCCATGTAATAGGAAATAATGGAGAAATCACTAGAATGGGTATATGGGGATTCAAGTTTCACACTGATTATTTTACTAACTTATATAATCTTCAACAAATTGCTTAACCTTTCTGGAGCCTAGTAGAAATAATACCTCAGAATGATTCTTAGAATCAAATTTAGCAACATATGTCAAAGTACTTTATAAATTATAAAGTTACATTCATTTGTGAGCTATTAACTATTGACGTAACAAAAGGAACACATAAATACTATGAAATAACAGCATAAAAAACCATTTCAAGATTTTTTTAAAGCTATATAAAATTTTAAAATCTTCATCTATAATGTTTCTGTCCTTTCCTATTTAACTCTATAAAGTATCTGTCCTTTCCTATTTAACTGTTACAACTATGTATCGTGCATTTCTCAACTAATAGCCTAACTCTTAGTTGGCTATTAGGCCTATGCTACATTATTCTATTCTCAAATTTATTAAAATACATCAATAATAATATGTAACATCTGCTTAACATGTCAAGCTTTACATGTAATACCTGTGTAAGATAGATATTATTACCATCCTCAATTTATAGATAAGAAAATAAAAAGCCTAAGAGTAGTAAAGTAACTTGCTTATTATCATCACAAAGTTGGTAAAGGATGGAACCAGTAATAAAAAGTCTCCCAACAAAGAAAAGCCCAGCATCAGATGACTTTACCTCTGAATTCTACCAAACATATAAAAAAGAACTAACACCAATTCGTCTCAAACTATTCTAAAAAACTGGAAGTTGAGAGAATTCTTCCTAATTCATTCTACCAGGTCAGCATTGGCCTAATGCCCAAACCAGACACACCAAAAGAGCAACTACATGCCAAAATCCCCAGTGAACTCAGAGGCAAAAGTTGTCAACAAAATACTAGCAAACTGAACCCAACAACACATTAAAGAGATAATACTCCCTGATCAGGTGGGATTTATCCCAGGCATGCAAGGATGGTTCAACACATGCCAGTCAATCACTGTGATATAGAATAAAGAACAAAACCCATACAATGATCTCAATAGATGCAGAAAAAGCATTTGATAAATTTCAGCATCACTTCATGATACAAACTCTCAGGAAATTAGGCAAAGAAGAAACATATCTCAAAACAATAAAAGGCAATATATGACAAACCCACAGCTAATATCATACTTAACGGGGGAAAAGCTGAAAGTCTGTCCTCTAAGATCTGGAACAAGACACAAATACTTACTTCCACCACTGTTATTCAACATACTAATGGAAGTCCCAGCCATAGCAATTAGGCAAAATAAAGGAATAAAGGGCATCTGAATTAGAAAAGAGGAAGTCACTATCCTCGTTATGGATGTCATGATCTTATATATAGAAAAACCCAAGGACTTCACCAAAAATACTTTTAGAACTGATAAATGAATTCAGGAAAGTTGCAGGATACAAAGTTAGGATGCAAAAATTAGTAGTACTTTATACACCAAGAATGATCTAGCTGAATAAGAAATCAATGGGATCAATAAAGCAATCCCATTTAAAATAGCTATAAAATATTTAAAATATATCTAGGAATAAATTTACCCAAGAAGGTGAAAGACCCCTACAATGAAAACTATAAAAACACTGATTAAAGAATTGAAGAGGACACAAAAAATAAAAATAGCCCATACTCATGAATTGGAAGAATTAATATTGTTAAAATGACCACACAACCCAATGTGATCTAAAGATTCAATGTAATCCCTATCAATATACCAAAGTCATTTTTCACAGAATTAGAAAACAATCCTAAAATTCATACAGAACCACAAAAGACCCAAAATAACCAAAGCAATATTGAACAAAATGAATAAAGCTGGAGTTATTACAGTACCTGACTTTAAAATACACTACAAAGTTATAATAACCAAAACAACATGGTATTGGTATGAAAACAGACCAATGGGACAGAATAGAGAACTCAGAAATAAATCCAGGCTTTTAGAGCCAACTGATTTTTGACAAGGTGCCAGGAACATACACTGGAGAAAGAATATCTCTTCAATAAACGTGCTAGAATATTTGGATATCCACATGCAGAAGGACAAAACTAGTCCCCATATCTCTCACCATATATAAAAATCAACTTAAAATAAATTACAGACTTATTTATAAGACCAAACTATAATACTATAGGGGAAACACTTGAAGACATTGATCTAGGCAAAGATTTTATGGCTAAGAAATCAAAAGAACAGGCAAGAAAAAACAAAAATATGCAAATGGGACTTAAACTGAAAAGCTTTTTGCACAGCAATAAAAATAAAGAGACAACATGTTGAATGGAAGAAAATATTTGCAAACTATGCATCTGACATGAACTAATATCCAGAATATACAAGGAACTCAAACAACAGCAAAAAACCCAAATAACCCAATTAAAAAGTGGGCAAATGATCTGAATAGACATTTTTCAAAAGAAAACATACAAATGGCCAACAAATCTATATAGAGAGAGAGCTCAACGTCACTATCTTCAGGGAGATGCAAGTCAAAACCACAATCAGATATCATCTTACCCCAGTTAGACTGATCATTATCAAAAAAGACAAAGTAAGTGCTGGCAAAAATGCAGAGAAAAGAAAATTCATACACCCTGTTTGTAGGAATATAAATTAGTACAATCACTATGGAAAACAGTGTGGAGGTTTCTTTAAAAACTCAAAGCAGAACCAGAAAATAATTCCAGCAATCCCACTACTGGACATTATTCCAAAAGAAAGGAAATCAGTATATCAAAGGGATACCTGCATCCCCATGTTTATTGCAGCTTAGCTACTATTCACAACAGCTAAGACACAAAATCAACCAAAATGTCCATCAACAGATGAATGGATAAATAAAACATGCTATATATACACAATGGAATACTATTCAGCCACAAAGAGAATGGAATCCTGTCATTCAAAGCAACATGAATTACCCTGGGGCACATTATGTTAAGAGAAATAAATCTGGCACGGTAAGAAAAATACCTTATGTTCTCACTCATCTGTGGGTGCTTAAAAAAAAATCGAGCCTATGGAAATATAGTGTAGAATTATGGGTATCAGAGGCTTGAAACGGGAGGTAGGAGGGGAAATGAGAAATTGGTTAACGGATACAAAATTACAGCTAGATAGGAGAAATGAGTTCCTGCCTTCTGTAGCACTGTTGGGTGAATACAGTTAGCCATAATTTATTGTATATTTTCTTTTTTTTTCTTGAGACAGAGTCTTGCTCTGTTGCCCAGGCTAGTGTGCAATGGTTTGATCTCTGCTCACGGCAATCACTGCCTCCTGGGGTTCAAGCGATACTCCTGTCTAAGTCTCCTGAGTAGCTGGGATTACAGGCATGCATCACCACACCTGGCTAATTTTTTGTATTTTTAGTAGAGACAGGGTTTCACCATGTTGGCAAGGTTGGTCTCAAACTCCTGACCTCATGATCCAGCTACCTCAGCTTCCTAAAGTGCTGGGATTACAGGTATGAGCTACCATGCCTGGTTAATATATTGCATATTTTCAGAAAGCTACAAGAAGATCTTTCATGTTCACAACATAAAGAAATGATAAGTATTTGAGGTGATGGATATGCTAATTACCCTGATTTGATCATTATACACTGCTTACATGTAACAAAATCACTGTATCCCATTAATACATACAATTATTACATACTAACTAAACATAAAAGAAAAAAATGGAAGCGAATCTAGAATGTATCTTAGTAGGTTTGTTGTTACTTGTAGTATGTATACTTCAGATAGTAAAAGTGAGCAAACATTTAAGTTGTTGAGTATTAGGTCTCTCACTGTGAGAAAAAGAAGCAATAAATACAGAATGGGAGATTAAGAATGAACTTGAGTTATCAAAACAAATGTATTTAAATAAATAAACGTATATATTTGTCTGACTGCCTATAAAACATATGTCATCCTAGCTCTATCCACTTTGAAAAGGCCATGTAGGAAGCAAAGGACACTGCAGTAATTATCAGCACACTTAGTGCCCACATTTTTAGTTTCTAAGTATCATTCTCCACCAGACCAGAACAGTCAGTGCTCAAAGACTGATGGAAACAAAGGAACCATCCAATGACCAAATTTGGGACAATATGAGCCTAAGAATAACAACAGTAAAAAATAATACATTAAATTAAAAATGAAAATTTTAAAAAGATGCACATGTTGGGGACAGGGAAAGTTCTTTACCAAAACATGACAGCTAATAAATGTAAAAGGAATGATAAAATTATCACCAATGTAATAATTGATTCAGACAAGGGCCATTAATACATATTATAATACACTGGGTGAAATATTGTTGATCAACAGGATATCTGAAAAGTATCAAAGTAGATAATTTTTTTTACAAAGGTAACAACGTATCTTTACAATGGGAAGATCTGGCAAATAATATCTTAACTAAATAACCAAATTTAGTAGCATACTGATATCACGTAGCCTCTTGCCAATGGAATGACAAGTACATCATCATCTGTGTGCTATTGTTGCCAAAAATGTGTAACCTAAATCCAATCATGAACAATAAAGACACATTCATATTGCAGACATTTGATAGCCAGCTC